AAGAATTTATGTTCAGTCAGCATTTTTCTTTTCCTTTTTTGTTAGGCATAGCTGGAATTGCTCATGCAACAAATTATAATTTTGATATGAACGGTTCCTTACTACTTCCCAAGGTGCTTTTTCGCGTCCCAAACACCAAGCTTATTTTTTCGATGGTCACATCTAGATTGTCAATTGTTTTAGAACGATTTTCAGGTCGTTCCTATTATCATAAGCCGCAGAACTTTTCTGCTTCAAGAGAGAAGGCATGATGATTAAATAAATCCCTAATAAATTTTTCCAAAGTTGTTAGGATATGCACTCCTTGTCTTAGCTTTACCTGTATGCTTTTTTTTCCAGATTTTCATTCGCGAATAGCATTTCAAGAGATTTGCTTAAGTTTTTAAAACTAAATTTGGTGAAATAGCTCACGCGCATAATATAAGAGTCATTGTTGGTTTCTGCTTCAAATAGAAGTTTTGCCCATTAGACAGTGTTCAAGGTCTAATCGGATTCAGCGATTAACAGAATGTTGTTTATGAGTAACTAAAAAGTACAGTCGCGTGACGTGTTGGAACTGTTATGGAAAGTTCCCAATCTCTGTTCAGTTCGTTCATTTTCAATCCTCAATCTTTTTAAACTAAAAAAGCCAATAAATGAGATCGGTGTTTTTGCGAAGCTGATAATCACAACAGTTTGTGATGTTTCCAATTCTAGACAATGGGCGGACATCTCTCCAATCGGTGGACGAGGGGGATTCACTGGTTATGGAAATAGTGGCGGAGGCGCGACCGCCACTAACGGCTATGATTATGGGAGCCAACAAGTGAATGGATACACTATGCCACCACCGGGATACGGGCAAACGATGCAATACACTACCTCTAACGGTGGACCGATTCCTAGGTAATCAGTCAGGTTGTAAACAATAAAATTTTGTATAATGCCCATGACGGTGAAGTGCTACAAAATTTGCTCCTCGGCAATTGAAAATGTGATCTAAAGACGAGTATATGTAGCACTATCACCTAAATCTGTCATGTTAGGTGAGAGCTTGAGACGAAGTAAACATATACTCGAATAAATGACTAGGAGGACGTAATTTCGCTTATTAAAACTTCCTACTAGTTCTTTTGACACCGTAGTGATCAACGATTATATGAGGCCTGAGAGAATGTAAGTCAAATGACCGTCACTGGGTACGCAACACTCCAAGCATATCTAGTGGCTCAGTAATCTTTTTTTTTTTAATATTACGGATGTAAAAGTTATAATTCACCAAGAAAAGCTCAGCTGATATACTTTTCTCTGATAATGGAGCTATTGACCTCTTCCGATGTTGTTAATCTAAAACTGCATCGGTCAGCGCTTGACTGTACGTAATTGTTCATTATCGCGAGATGGTGGCCTATACGTCTAGTTAGTAAACTTTTACGACAAGATATCTCCTTAGTAATCAATCCTCACAATTTCTTTTCTAGGAATTTCGAAAACTTTATCATGAAAATTGCGCTGTTCGATTTATTGCTCGTGTTTTTCCAGAAATTAGAGTGACAGTAGCGTTCTCTTTTTATTTTGCGTCTACGTCACATCATACTGTAAAATGGGTTTACAAAACTAGTGCGTTCATGTATTCTGCTTTTTACACGAAGAAATGGGGAGGATAACTGTTTTCTTTCAAAGATTGGACCCTTAGCAATCAAATTGCTGACGCTGACCATTTTTCATGCTTTTACTTGATTATTTTTTTAACCAAATGAATCCTCAGCTTTCTGCAGTTCGGACGCATCCAACTTCGTTTCGCATTATACATATTCGTTAAACACTGCGAATACATTACACAATCTCCTGCAGTTCTGCTTGGACGAAATGCTGCAATTCATGTCGTTATTCGTAGTCACATGTTACACTATTATACTTCTTTCAGCGAGCTTGACTTCCTCTTGTTTATTAGGTAATTTGCTTGTTATTTGTCTAAGCCTTAGAACAAATGTTTCAACGGTCCTTTGAGGGATACTGATAACATTTGGTAAGTAGTGATTCAACGTTATTTAGTCTGCATTTGACTCGTTGAAGAGTGTTTAAACACACGATGCTCTCGCTCTATCTTAACTTTTCTGTTGTAAATGAGCCAAAAGTGTAGGCTTTCGATCTTGTAAGGAGGCTCCTTTTTGTGCAGGTACTAAATGCACGGTAGCTAACTTTCTTGGGAAGGTTGCACATTAGTTTATTTGTTTTGCCGATTTCGTGTAAAATCTATTTGGCTCAGTCTCGTCTAAATAAGGTCACGGTACGTTTGCGACTCGTTTCTCAACGCGTGTGTATAACATAGCATCTAGTGATACAACGATTATTGTAATCAAATTTTGCCTAATGGGTAACCTGAATGAACCTGGATGTACAAATTTTTGTTGAACTCTGAGAACGATTGTCTAGTGCAACATACAGTAAGGCGCCATCACAGTATGACATCTTTGGTTTAGCACCTCGAAAGGCTTTGTGTAACCACTGTATAATTAAAGAAGTCAAAATAGGTGTGAGAGCATCGCTTGCTTTCACGCTTCTTGAATTAGTATAGCAGAGCGCAGATACATGTAAAAGTGTGAACAATGTTTTAGCGTTTAGAATATGCACTTTTTATGTCATAAATGAGCTCACTTGCTCCTTCAAAAGTACTCTGAGATTTCAGTGAAGGGTTGCCTACTCGTTAATA